ATGGAGGGAAATGAATGCTGCCCTGGAGTTTTGGGGTGGTTTTTTTCATAAGTCTGTTTTTACTCATTTGAATATTTATCTTTTGCAAATGCTGCACGTGCTTGAGCACATATATTGAAGCTCAGGAACCTGGGAGTTGCTGGGGGAGACTGGAGCAGGATTTCCAGAGAATTTAGTGCCCTATGGAGGAGCCAAACCAGGACAGAGGCCTGGAAAATCCCAGAAAATCCTGCGGACAGGGGAGACAACTTGAAGCACAAAATCCAAGTTAGCAAATTCCTGACAGTGGGATTTTCCATTGTGAATCCTCCTGCAGAGCAGGCACGGACACAGAATGCAGAAGAAAATTAAATTAATCATCCTTTTACACTGAAAGTTACCATCAGAATCCCTCTAACTTAAAATTAGGGCCTTGCTGGGGATAAGATGAAAAAATGAGGAGTTGATTATGAGAATCTTTAGAGTTCTGACAAGGGGTGGAGGGACAGGACACAGGGAATGGCTCCCAGTGCCAGAGGGCAGGGATGGATGGGATATTGGGAACTGGGAATTGCTGGCTGGGCTGGAATTGCCAGAGCAGCTGTGGCTGCCCCTGGATCCCTGGCAGTGGCCAAGGCCAGGCTGGACATTGGGGCTGGAGCAGCCTGGGACAGTGGGAGCTGTCCATTCCCATGGAACTGGATGGGATTTAATGTCCTTTCCATCCCAAAACATTCCTGGATTCCATGAAACAGGGACTTCCCTCGCTGTAGCGTGGATATATCCATGCAAGGCGGGGTTTGGAATGCACAGTTCCAGGACGGATTTGCTCACCTATTTTAATTTACTCCCAGATGTGCAAATGGCTTTTTTCTAATTTTGGCCACGGTGGTTTCATTTCGCTGGAATAAATCCATTATCCAAGGTGTAATATCCCAACTCCAAGCTTTGGCTGGAAAATTGCTGCTGTCATTTCATGGGGATCACAATCCCAGTGCGCTGGAGCTTCCCAAAGCTCCCAAATCCCTTCTTGTCTGGGCTTCTCCGTGTCCTGGGCTCCAAGCTCCATTCAGGTACCTCCAGACCCACCTCAGGAGCTAAAAAATCCTGGAAATGTGGCTGCAGTGGAGAGTCCAGGAATAGAAAGACTCGGAAGTGTTGGATAACACTCCTGTGGTGTGAATCCAACAGTGGCCACAAACCCAGTGGAGAGCGAGCAGAGGCGCCACTTTTTGTTATTATTATTATTTATTTATCGTTCCCCTTGCCGGAGCTGCGAGAGATAAACTCGTTATTTGTTCAGCTTAAAATGCAAATTGGAGAGGCCAAAGCAGCGGGTGAAGCCTCTGCTCGGGGCCACGCGGTGGAAATAAATTCCTGGAATTTTCTCCTTAAATTTTCTCCTTTCTCCTTAAAACTAAAGACCAGGATTTGATCCCTACCTTGAGGAGCAGCTGTGTGGTTCAAACCAAACAAGCGTCTCGCTGTCGTTCCTCTGGATTGCTCCAGAACTTTCCTTTTTCCGTTTCCTAATCCTTAAAACATGAATGTGCTTAGGCGAAAAAACTTCATTAAACATTAATAGAGTGCCTGATTTAACTCCAGCCCCGTTTGCTTCCCGAAGATAATTGTGGAAGAGAATGAACCGTGCTCCCTTGGCAGCTTTGCTGGAGATTTTTCCAAAACTAATAGTGGAATTATGAAAGGAATAAGGAGGGAAAAAGTAAATTAAATCAAATTGCCAAAGCCTTGGGGAAGAGCTGATGCAAATGAGTTCAACGCAGAAGAGTCGCAAACAACTCCAGGTTTGGTTTTTTTTTCCTGCGCATCTGGGAAGTCACAATCCTATAAAAACAATGGAAAAACCCGATGGAAAAATGAGCTGTTAGCTCTGGTTGGGGCTTTTATCAGCCCTTCCCTTTCCCATTAAAGTTATTACCTGCAAAAGCGGGATTCGGGAATGAGCAGCCCGGGTTAATTTTCTCTTCCTGTCACTGGGGATCATCAGCCCCTGGATAAATGGGAATTGTGGGGTTTAAAGACTTTTTTGACCTTAAAGGCAGGGGAAAGTTTCATTTTAAAGCTGTTTATAAGGCTAAAGTAGCTTGATAAGTAAATAAAGCAGGGGGAGAAGAGAGAAGGGCCTGAATACAAATTCCCGTTAAAATCGTTCAACTGAGCCGGTGCGGGGACGTGAAATCGTTCCCTGGATTCAGAGCATTCTGTGGAAGCAGCAAGGAAAACAAAGGAGGGAACGTTATTCCAAAGCAGAGATGAGTTTTGGATGTTCAAACATTCCTATGATTTATGAGCAAGAAGAGAAAATGATGGGAAAATCAGCCATTAGCGGCTTTTTAACACCTCAAACACGGAGCTGCCACGATATTCCTTCCCAAAATTCTCTGTCCTCTCCCTCATGGATTTAGGATCAGGAGGGTTCAAATCATTGCCTGAAATAATTCCCTGGATTTGGAGCATTCAATGGAAGCAGCAAGGAAAACAAAGGAAGGAACATTATTACAAAGCAGAGATGAGTTTTGGATGTTCTAAAAATTCCAAGGATTTATGAGCAAGGGGGGAAAAAAATCAGCCATTAAAGGCTTTTTTACACCTCAAACACAGAGCTTCCAGAATATTCCTGTCCCAAAATTCCTGTGTTCTCCCTCGGGGATTTAGGATCAGGAGGGTCCTCAGCAGATGCTGCTTGAGCATTTTTCTGTTGTTATTTTAGAGATTTCTTCTGTGCCTGGCTCCAAGTTTAGGGAGAATTTTCCCAGGATTTTAAGGTGTGGTGTGGCTGGAAAGGCTGGAGAGGTGATGGGGATGGAATTATCCCGGCTGGAATGGGGAAAACAAAAATAGAGAATTTCCGTTTAGAAATCAAGTATTTATTTCAGATAAAATTGGTTTTGTTACAAAGATCAGAGAAATGATACCAGGAGCAGCAGCGGATGCCTTGTTGTGGTCATGATCCATAAAAATATGGAGAGTTCATGGAATCTTGGAATGCTTTAGGTTGGAAAAGCCCTCTGAGGTCAAATCTGACCATTCCCAGCACTGCCAAGGCCACCACTGATCATGTCCCCAAGTGCCACCTCCACAGGGATTTCAATCCCTCTGAGGGTGGGGACTCCACTGCCCTTTTCCAGTATTTTACAGCTTTTCCACAGAGAACTTTCCCTTGGAGAACTTACATCTCAAGGTGGAAAAACACCTGGAAAATAGTGAACATTAGTAAATTTGATTAATAATTCCTTTGCTATCCATTATATAGGAGGATCTAGGAGGTTTTTTTTGGGAAGTACAAATAATTTAAGTCAGAGTGGTGAGAGGAAAACAGGAGATTTGGGAGAGGCAACTCTCAGGTCTCCCTGAGAAGGCAGCGGAGACCTGGAATATTTTCTTTCCCAAAGATAATTCCTGTCTTTAAGCCAACAGTTCCCTGCAAAGCTGCTGCCTTGGGAAGCTTAGGGAAGTGGGAACATTTTAATGTTTTATGTAAAACACCGTTTTGTAAGGATACAAAATCTCCCTGTGCCACCCTGGAATGGGTGGATTTCAGGAATTCTTCCCCCTCAGGGGTTAAAAACTGAGCTGAGTTCTTTGGCCAGCCAGAACGTCCTGGCATTCCCTGGTTTGCATCCCGCTGGGAACGCGTTTTCCATACGTGTTCCTGGCTCTGAAGAGCTGTGCTGACGTGAGCTGAGCACGAACCATCGCTCCAAGTTATCCTTGTTTTCCAGCCCTGATGAGGTTTTCCATCTTCGGGAAGTTGGGTCCGTGCACACACTGGATGTTGGTTATATTTTATTTATTTGGTGTTTTGCTGGAATCAAAATTCTGGCAGAGTTGGAAGCTGTGAATGTGAATTATTTAAAATCGGTTTTATTTGAGTTAGGGCAGAACAGGCTGTTCTGGGGATGGGCAACTGGTTCGTTCTGGGCTTGCTGGGACAGCAGAACCTCTGTGGGAATGGAGAAAAAATGTCCAGAGGTGATGGTTTTTGGGGAATCCAGACAGCAGCTCCTGGGGTGGGGAGTTGATGGAATCATGGAATGATCCCACAAGGATCATCCAGCTCAGCTCCCAGCCCTGCACAGACCCCCCAGCAATCCCAGGCTGTGCATCCCTGGCAGCCCTGCCCAAACGTTCCCAGAGCTCCGGCAGCCTCGGGAATGTTCCCACCGAGCACAGAGTCACCAGCTCAGCTCTGTGCCCGGGGTATTGCTGCCTTGTGCACTTCATCCAAAGCAAGTCCTAGAATTCCAGACTGGTTTGGGATGGGAGAGACCTTCCAGACCACCTCCTTCCACCCCTGCTTTGGGCTGGGACAGTTTCCATAGACCCGGTTGCTCCACGCGCTGTCACAGTTAAGACAAGGCACTTACTGGGTTTATTCAGTGTCGTTCCAAGGGATCTCCTCTCAAGACCTTGGGAAATTTCTGTCTCCTAGGACAGGCCTAAACACAAACCTGGGCTGGTGCACTCTCCTGGAATGGGTCTAAACAAGAACCTGGGTTTGACATGTTTAGTTCTAGGATGTGCTCAGAAGAAGCCGCCCAATGTCCTGCAACAGGAAGAGACCAGGTTAGTCCTGTCTCCTAGGACTGGTTCTAAACAAGAACCTGGGTTAGTCCTGTCTTCTAGGACTGGTCCTAAACAAGAATACAGGTTTTTCTTGTCTCTAGGACAGGTCTCAAACAAGAACATGGGTTAGTCTTGATTCCTTTGATGTGTCCTAAACAAGAACCTGGGTTAGTTTGGATGCCTAGGATGGTTCCTAACCTGGGTTAATCCTGTCTCTAGGAAAGGTCCTAAACAATAACCTGGGTTAGTCCTTTCTCTTAGGACTGGTCCTAAACAAGAACCTGGGTTAGTCCTGTCTCTGGGCCAAGTCTCAAACAAGAACCTGGGTTAGTCCTGTCTCTAGGACAGCTCCTAAACAAGAACCTGTGTTAGTCCTATCCCTAGGCCTGGTTTCCCCCCTCTAACACCCTCCCACCCTCTCTGTGTCTCCACAGACCCCCCGGCCGTGGAGCCGGCGTTCCTGGAGCTGCGGCAGGGCCAGGGCCGCGGCGTCACCATGAGCTGCCGGGTGCTCCGGGCGTATCCCACGCGGGTGCTGAGCTACGAGTGGCGCCTGGGCAGCCGCGTGCTGCGCACGGGCCAGTTCGACCTGCAGGACTCCACGGAATATACCGTCAGCAGCCTCTCCCGCGACTCCTATGGCATCTACAACTGCAACATCATCAACGAGGCGGGCGCCGGCCGCTGCAGCTTCCTCGTCACAGGTAGGAGGCACGAAGCTGGAAATTAATCGGCTTTTTGATTGGTTTTTTGATGTTCTTTGGAGGGGTTTTAGTCAGTTTGTTCAAGTTGCCCGGGAGGTTGAAGTTTCTCTTCAAAACTCTGCTCGTGGAGTGTTTGGGTTTTGTCGGATCAAACGATAAAAGGGATGTTCCCAGATTTTGAGTTTGGAATCTCTGGGTTGGGAGTAGCCAGGAGATAAATGGACATTGCCAAATGTCAGCCTGTGGCAGGGACTGGAGCAACTGGGGTGGGAAAAGATTGAGAAGAGAAATGAAAAATGGGAACCAAATCAGCATCGAAGGAATCGATAACCACGAGGAAATCCAACACTGAAAACGGGGTCATTGGGACCAATGAATGAGAATTTTTGCATGTTTTTTTATGTGTAAATGTGGGAAAAGTCTGGTAAAGCGTTTTGTGGATGGAGTGATTTCCATGGCACATCCTGGCCGGAATAAAGTAATCCCGGATTCCCCCACACTTAGAAGATGGTGCTGGAGAGTTTCTTTTGTTCCTGAATTTCGGTGAAAACGCAGTCTTGGAGGCCCAGGCGTGTTGGATTACTCCTGCTCCAGTTGCCAGAAACATCCTTCCAAGTTGTATCAGCTTGAGAAATCTTGTTGGGATTGTGATTGGGGAAAAAAAGGAGATTTAGCTCATTTGAGGATCAGGATTTCTCAGTGGAAAATGTGAATATTCCTTCTCTGTGGGCATCTGCCAAGGGGTTTTTGAGGGAAGTCTGAGGGAGTCATCAGGCAGAAAAATTCCTCTGTTTGAAGTTGGCACTAAAGTTGGATTTCCTCTTCTCTCCAGCTTGGAGAGTGGGGTGAGCACATCACAGGCTCCAACCACTTCCCTGGGAGTTGGGATGTTGGAATTTGTTCCTTTTCTCCAGCAGGAAAAGGACTTTGGGAAATTTTCCACCAGATCCCCAGGATCAGGTGGATCCCCTGGTGCAGCCCCCAGGATCCACCTGTGGTGTGTAATTAATGTGATGGAGCCAAGCTTGGTGTGTCTTTTGTCTTGGGGAATCTTGGAGCTGAAAAACTTGGATCTTGGAAAACTTTGGAAGTCTTGATTATACCTCTGTTGAGGATTAATGAAATTAATTGGAACTAGAAGGCTCTGCTGCCTGATCCTGCAAGGCCCACCAGCAGCTGTGTCCAAGGTGTTCTGATTCCTGGAATCCCATCAGGTGGAGGTTCCATGTCATTCCAGGATGGTTTTCCAGACTGTGATGGGTGAAGAATTCCCGGTTCCTCTGCACCAGCTGGGAGTGGCCTCAGTGGGGCTCCTGGAGGCCAACCAGAGCAACCTCAGCCTCCCTGACGAGTCCTGGTGTCTCCAAACCCACACTGGAAGGGGTTTGGAGCCACCTGGGATAGTGGGAAGTGTCCCTGCCCATGGAAGGGTTTGGAATGAGATGATCTGGAAAGTCCCTTCCAACCTGAACGGGTCTGGGATGTCTGTTGGAGCAACAGCCCTGTTTCAGCTCTAAATCATCCCAAAAGCTGCTTGGAAATGAATGACGGGAAAAGAAACCGATAAAGAAGAAATTCAGGATGTTTAAATAGGAATTCCTGGAATTTGTTGTTAGGTGTTTATCCAACTTGACTCCCGTTACAATCACCTGTACATAGGGTTTTCCTTCTGGGATCGCAGCTCCCTGGATTCTGTCCCTGCTCAGGAAAATGGACTTTTCTATCCATGTTACTGGTTCCAGGAGAAAAGGGATGGATTTATTGGGAGAGCTGCAGATCCTGTGTCAGGGACCCAGCTCTGATAGCAGGGGACACCTTCCACACCCCTCTGTCTCGGGAATAAAGGAAACCGTTTTTTACAGCTCCCCAAGTGTTTATTTTTCCTCAGTAAAACTTGATTTAGTGGGAAAAACATGGTTCTACTTTCACATGGAGACTTTTTTCCCTATCTTGGAGTTATCTAAATCCCTGGAAGTGTTCAAGGCCAGGTTGGACAGGGCTTGGAGCAGCCTAGGATAGTGGAAGGTGTCCCTGCCTGTGGAAAGGAGTGAAATTTGATGGACTTTAGGGTCCCTTCCAACCCAAAACATTCCATGATGGGAATGGCATCCCCTTGGCAGGAATTTCACACAGCACAAATGTGGCGGGAATACAACAAATCCTGCAATTCCTACTGGTTCTGCTCCTTCCAAATGGGATCCAACCTTTGGCTGACGCCATTCGGAGCCTGCTGGAGATGTTTGCACTGCCACCAACTTCTCCAGACCTTGGGATTTTAATCCCAAAGGAGGCTCTGAAGGAAACCAGAAAAATTGTTTGGCCTCAAATGAGTAAATTTGGTTCAATTTATTCATCAGGATTTGTATCCCAGACTGTGGGAATTGATTCCAAGGCAATTCTTTTCCCAGGATCGGGGCAGTTGGAGCGGTTTTAGCAAACCACAAACCTGAAAATGAGTCCTGAGATGATTTTATGATGTTTTCCCATCCTTCCCCGTGATCACTTAGGGCTCGTCCCACCCTGCTCATTTATGAGGGATTAAAGATGCTGGGAGCAACACTTTGACTTTTCTTAATCTTGTAATGTTAAAACCGAGTTTATTTAGGAAACGAATTCTCTGCCACTGCTCTCGGAGCTCTGTGGCGCTCCCGAATCTCAGCAGCACAGATGGAGACGAAGCCCCAGGGAACTGAAAACACTGAAAAAATAAAATGATGAAATGGTTAAAAAGGAGGCTTGGATTTCGCTGGGAATGTGAATAGAGACAAGAAATTGGGCACTTCTTAGGCAGGATTGGAAAAAAGAGCCCGATAAATAACTGCAAGGCGGGAATGTGGCAGTTGTGTGGAGCTTTTGTTTGGGGGGGAATAATAGGTTGTTGTAACCCATTTTTAGCTGGTTTATTTCTGGTTTTTCATGCAGGAAAACAGAAATGAGCTGGACTGGGGCTGCAGAAAACCATTGGTATGCTCAGGGAAAGCTTTTCAGTGCAGCATTTCAAGCAGCCTGCCTTGAAAGATTTATTCTGACCCCAGAGCTTGCAAAATCTCCTTTTTTTCTTTTTTTTTTTTTATCCTGTGTATTTTGAGCCAGATTGGAGGAGATGAAAGCCAAATAAATCACACTTGGAAAAGGGGTTAATTTATAGCATCTGGGCCAACGCGAGGCAGATGTAACCTGCCAGTCTCTTCAAAATAAATAAGAAGTGACAAGGCAAATTGTGTTTGTGGGGAAGCAGAGCCGAGTTCATGCTCCTCACAGCTTCACCACCTCGAGATTTTATTCGGGGCCAGATCATATCCAGAGAGCAGCAAAATGTCCATTCCGGGCTGTGGCTTTGGAAAACTCTGCCAGGGCTGGGAGCAAATAAATCAAAGCAGATCTGGGCACGGCAGAGGCTGAGGAGCCTCCCCGAGGGAGGGTTTGGTGCTGGGAAGGAGCGGGATGAGCACGGGGAGCTTCTCCCTCCCTGGAGCAGCCGGAGGTGCCAGAGGCTCCTCCAGGACACACCTGAGCCCCGCTGGGTCACGGCCTGGCCTGGCCAGCTGGGGACATCCCAGGAGGGGCTTTTGCACCGTGCCTTGGGCTTCTCACGGCAGGGTGGGCTGATCTCCGTGTTTTTCTTTTTCTTTTTCTTTTTCTTTTTCTTTTTCTTTTTCTTTTTCTTTTTCTTTTTCTTTTTCTTTTTCTTTTTCTTTTTCTTTTTCTTTTTCTTTTTCTTTTTCTTTTCCTTTTCCTTTTTCCTTTCCTCTCTTTCTTCTTTTCTTCTCCATCTCCATCTCCATCTCCATCTCCATCTCCATCTCCATCTCCATCTCCATCTCCATCTCCATCTCCATCTCCATCTCCTTCTCCTTCTCCTTCCCCTTCCCCTTCTCCTCCTTCTCTCTTCTTCCTCATGCTCCTCTTTCTCCTCCACCTTCTCTTTCCACTTTCTCTTCTTCATTATTATTATTCTGCATCATTAACGAGCACCAGGACAAGAGGGAACGGCCTCAGGCTGCACCAGGGAAGGTTCAGGTTGGATATTGGTGGGAAGTTCTTCATGGAAAGAGCTGTCAGACACTGCCCGGGGCAGCAGTGGGGTCACAATCCCTGGAATTGTCCAAAAACCGTGGATGTGGCTCTTGAGGCGGTGGGATAGTGCTGACAGTTGGGGTGGATTGACAGCCAGACTTGATGATCCTAAAGGTCTTTTCCAAGCTGAACAATTCCACGGGGATTGCAAACCCCTGGGGAGCTGTTTGGGATTAGGATTACCTAGAACTGAGTTTACCTGGCAAATCCTGGTTTAAAATTTCTCCTCCATTTGGGAAATTTGACCCCCTTGAGCTGGAATTTGCTCTGCTGGAGCTTCCCTGGGTTGAATTTGTCCCCAAAGTTGTGTCCAAAGAGGGATTTTTAGGTTTTTTAGATGATATTTTGTTCCCTATCCATTAAATTCTTTAATCAGAGCTGGATTCACATCCAATATGGGATTACTTCCTTAATTTCCACCAGGCATCTCTGTCCACAGCGGATGGGGCTGGCTTGGCAGGGCTAGAGATTTAATATTAAAATTCAATATTTCAATTATTCATCACAGCCCTGGGTAGGACTAAACAAAGCTCTAATGGCATTCCATGGACTTAATTCCTTTTATCAACCAACTTGCGATCCCGATCCGTTTGGAATGTTAATTCCATGTTGTTCTGGCCCGTGGAAGTTCTCTGCCATGGGATATTTTGTTAATTAATGAGCTCATCTTTAATTATTTACTTTGTCTTACATCACCCTGTCAGTGCTTCCAGCCAAGTGCAGCATCAAGCCAATCAAGGGCTAATTAGGGAGGGTTTAATTGTTAGCTCGTGATCAGAGCTTTCCCTGTCCTTGGAACTCTTGGAAGCTCTTTGGAGATGGCGATGCCGAATGGAGAGCCGAGCAAACCTGACGATCCAAAGGTTCCTTCCTTGCCAGTTCCTCCAGAAGGGATTATCCCCATCCATGGCAGTGTCCCGGAG